TTTTTTGTAGTTTTTAGTAGAGACGGGGTTTCACCATGTTGACCAGGATGGTCTCGATCTGTTGACCTCGTGATCCACCCGCCTTGGCCTCCCAAAGTGCTGGGATTACAGGCTTGAGCCACCGCGCCCGGCCCGGCCTTTCAAGTTTTTATGTTTTTAGGTCAAAAGTTGTAATACAATTTGACAGTAAAATGTATATTTTATTGGTAGATTAGCAAAGTTTCTAATTTGCCTTGGGGACAGAATTACTCTGGGATTGATTTTTCTTTTTTTAAATATCTTGAAAGATTGATTGATTGTTGCTTTGGCCAAAATCACTTTACCTATATAGAAAGAGAACTCACTGGGTTGCAAGAAGACCCCAACAGGTAGCTCATAAATAACATGAGTTCCCTCTAGATGGGTTGGCCTATCTCTGGCGTGTAAAGAGTAACTCATGCCTCCATAGGGGCAGTTGCTGACTTTAGCATCTGCTGCCTGGCCAGAGGCTGTGAGGGCTTTGGCGCTGCCACAATGTGGTCATTTATCACCTTAGCTGAGAAGGATGCAGCTGGCTTAGATTCATGGCTCTCCCAACCTCCTTCCCCCACGTGAAAAAAAAATTTTATCAGGGATTCCTGTAATGGGCCTAACTAAGCTGTGTTCCTGCTTCTGCTCTGGGATTACCAGCCTTGACTATGCTGGTATTCCCTGTACTCTGGCCAGCCACACTTTTGTGTTCCCTATAAGAAAAGGAACTAAAGTAAAAGTCCCATAGCTGGTTGCTAGATTCTTAACTCCATGCAGTAGAGTTCTCTGGCCTCTCCTTCCACTCCATGTCCCTACTAGTTTTCCAAGTATATATACTTTTTCAGCTCCTTTCTGTTAGCTTAGAAAGCCTGACCCAGTAATGGACTTCTAGGACCAGGTGTTATAGGGGGCAGCAACATGGACTCCCAGAAGGCAGATTCTGGGCACACTGACCCCTTGGCTTTTCTCAGACCACTGCCAGGCAACAGGCCCCTTTAGTAATCTTATGCTACATATGTGGGTGACTTCAAGTCTTGGGTGTCTGGGATAAAAAGAATTTTCTTTTCCTAAGATCTACGACTCTTGAAAAAGAAGTTCCTGTCATCTTCATCCACCCTCTAAACACTGGATTATTCCGGATAAAAATTCAAGGAGCCACTGGAAAATTTAACATGGTCATCCCTCTTGTGGATGGGATGATTGTCAGCAGGCGAGCTCTTGGTAAGGTCTTCATGTGTGGCTGAAGAGTTAAATTTTCTTTTTCTTTATTATTTTTATGAACCAAAAAGAAATAAAAATAAGGAAATGGTGATAATTAATAGCTTCCACATGTAGGAAATGTATGGCTGTTGTTAAAAAGGGAGCATGTTTTGTTCTGTTTTAATCTGTCTTTAGTAAATATAAGTAGAACCTCACCAACTTCTGGTATTAAGAAAATGAAGATAGCTATTTGTAATTCAGGAAGGAAAATAGGCTGTTAGACTAGATTTTGATTCTCCTTTTCCTTGTCATTTTGTATTTCTTCTGACAGGTTTATCTTAGTCTGTCTCTCTGGGGCTGGGAGGTTTGCAAATTGAATGAAATAGTTTGAGTATATGAATAGTTCACCTGAATACTGATAGTTCATCTACTGAAGTGACTAGTTTTTAACATTTATTTTAAAACTCTCTGTTTTCAAGGCTTTCTGGTAAGGCAGACTGTAATTAACATTTGTAGAAGAAAGAGACTGGAGAGTGACTCCTACAGTCCACCCCATGTCCGCCGGAAACAGAAAATCACCGACATTGTCAACAAGTACCGGAACAAGCAGTTGGAGCCAGAGTTTTATACTTCACTTTTCCAGGAGGTTGGACTCAAGAACTGCAGTTCTTAGACCACTGAATTTCTAAGACTGTTGAACCCCCGTTTGGGAACTATAACACAGCAGAACAGTTTGATAGGTGATCACTGTAAAAATAAAAACGAATCACTCCCAAGAGCTTACTGTTTAATCACCAGAATAGAAGAAACACATTGTAACCCATTTGATAGAAGACTTTTGGCTATCTAGTGAAATAGCCTCCCAGACACAATCATATTCCTGCTGATAATGATGACATACATTTTAGCCATAAACTTTCTTTTAAAAGTGACAATTTTAGTTAAACCAAAGCCTTTTGAGGAGAAAGGCTTTTATGCATCTCAGTTATACACGTGCATTGGTAGTATCAACAAATTTGCAATATAGAAGTTGAAGCTAGTTTTATACCTCACTTTTTAGGAGGTTGTATTAAAAAAAAATCTGTCTCAGAATCTTCCAGGACATTTAAAGACTCATGTTGATAGCATGGAGGAGAAGGAAAGAAGTCTCAGCCTTCTACTCACTTGTAGGTCTACTTGTCATCCAGCTGTCAAACTGACAAAAAGGAAATAGGATAACATGTTTTTTTCTCAGATAAGAAGCCTGACATTAAAATATGTCATATTTTTTTCTCCACATTTCAGGAAGTTGTCCTTGTCATCACTGCACAGATCTGTCTGAAAGCCTCAGTTTCTGGGCCACCCAGCAACAGATCAGAAATGGCGCATGGCGTTGTCCTTTAATGGGGATGCAAATAAAGTTTGTGGGGTTAAAAGTTATAAGACAGCAGTGATACCCCCACTCTCTCCATTATTGTCCAGCAGGGTGACGTAATGACAGGTTAAACATTTGTGATTCATTAATTAAATATCATTTGAAGAAATGTAATTCACAGTAGGGGTTGAAAATTATTTGGTTTCATCTATTATCTCTTATTTCAGGACCAAGCAGCAAACTGCAGTAGTTTATGAAGGATTCTAGTTTGGGGTTCAGGAATAGCCTCTCAACGCTCCTTATTCAGATCTTTCCCAGAGAACTACTCGATTTCCTTGTAATTGACAAACATGAGTGACCACCTCTTTGGGTGGCTACTGTTAGAAATGGCTAACAGTTGTTGTCATCTTTTCTGGACTTTAGTTAGCCAACAGATCCCTGCCAGGTTTTGGAAATACTTCTGTTACCTCGCTGCTACTTTTCTGCAGGGATAAAACTTTTGAGGTGGCCAGACCCAGAACATCCTTACAAGGATTCCTGTTACAGTGCTACAGCATACACTGCTCATTTACCCTATTCTCATGTGCTTTCTTATTTAGTAAGATTATTTTATGTTAAGAAAATAAGTGATATTTGAAGTCCAAAGAGGAATGATCACAGTTGTATAAGAGGTGTTTTCTCACGTGAACTCTGATGTCAGTAGACTCTATAGGTCAAAGCTACAACAATCTGTTTGGGTTGATGTTTTGGTAGTTTACTTAGGGGGCGGGGATAGTGTGGGACCTAATTCCCTGTGCAAATGTCTCTTATTCCAGAAATATGCATTTGCCATCTGTGAGCAAGAAATATGGGCATAGCAGCTCTTGGTTTAAAGTTTGCCATAACCTTTTCTTCATGTTTGTTTTAAGCTCAGGTAAAGATAACCTCCTCTTTCTATGACTCCAGTTTCCATTCAGGTTATAGTATTATTCAATAGTTGATTTTCTTTTTAAGCTGGGCAATAAATTGATGTTTCCAGATGGTAGCATGGGAGAGGGCATAATGGGATAAAGATGAGCAAATTCTACCCTAAAAATGTTCTACTGGTTCACAGGAAGAAGATGAGGTTTAACAACTTTTAAGGTAATTCTAGATTGACATTTTGAGGGGAAAATGGGCTCTTGTTTTAGTTGAAGTGAGCAGAGAAGGCTGTAAATTGATTGTAACGTAACATTCCAGAGGTTAAAAATAACTGATGTAGATGCACTTCTTCAGTGTGATTCTTCAGATCAAACTTTTACCTTGGCATAGTTAATGTCAGAAAAATGTGCTGTGTGTGTATGAGGGTTGGGTTTCCTGACCCTTGAGTTAGCTCTAATTTCTGGCAACTCCTTGTAATTCCAATGTATTTGATAAGTGAACAACCATGTTGAATGCATTTGTGATCTGGGAGACTCCCTGGTCTTCCAGGGAAGGAAAGATGTGCAGCCCTTGAAGGCATGAAACTTCTAATGTGTACGGAGCCAGTGGAATATGGGATACACATACCTACCAGGCACTGGTTCCTTCTGCTCAAAATAACATCTGCCCAAAGAGGGAGTGTGGTAAGAACCCTTAGATCCAGTCTTTCACTAATATGGATTTGAGTTCATGGTCACTATGTTTATCTACCTGTCTGTGTTAAAAAATCACTGAGTAAAATAGCACCAGAGGAACCTATTTAGTACATAATATTAATATTTAGTAGTCTGTTTGATAAATTTGCCAGCATATGTTCTAGCCTTTCAGGCAAAGTCAGGACCACGTTCGTCTGTGGCTTAAACAGCTCAGTCGCTATGTCCGTTGGCTATGCCGGGGGGTGGATGAGTGTGGCATTCTATGAAGAGGAAGGTGGTAAGTAAGGTTGCCCATCTACTGCTGCCTTAAATTGGAGGAGGGAGCTTTTCTCCTCCTCTCTGATTGGGTGCACTGAGGTCAGTGAGGAGGGCTTTTACCTTGTTAACCCTTTCCTTGTTTAACTAGCTTTCCTTTTTGTCTAGGACTTCTTCCTGAGACCCTCTTCCATCCACTGGGCCTTTTAAAGGACTCATTACATGTTGGGTTGACCCCCTTTTTTTTGCCAGCACGTGCGTGCACACACACATGCATACTCATGCACATTTTCTGTCATTTCCAAGTCCTTTATTTCAGGGCAGCCATTTTCCTCTGGACTCATTAATAAATACAAATACCCACACCTTTGGCCAGTAATGTTGGTTCCCTGCAGGTTCTGTGTATGAGGCCTTAGTGAATGGTTACTTTCTCCATATACTAGGGAAGCATTTGTCAGACTCTGCAGACTGGGTTCTAGAGAGGCAGAGTCTTTAGGAGTACTCATTTCTTCTGGAAGGTGGAGCTTTACCCAAAGTGGAAGTTAGCTTTGCTCAAAGATGTGTTTTGTGGTAGTTGGTAAAAAAAAAAAACCTATTGGAGATAATTTGACACTCCTGCTGGCAGTAGTTCTCCATTCACCATTTTAAAGCCCATTCAGGTTCTATCTTCCTAAAAAAATTGATTGCTGTGTTTACATGAAATGATGATTGGCGTCAGATGGTCTGTTTTAAAGATTTCCATGACAGCCTCTTTTCCTGAGTTGGAGAGATTGGAGGTGGTCCATCCATACAATGTGGAATCAAACGGTGGGTTTCTTAGTAGCTAAAGAAGCCATGTACTTATAGTGTTTTTCTCCGAATATCAACTCAGAATATCAACTCATGTTCTTCAGATGCTTTTCTTTTTTTAATGGTAAGGGAAAAGGTGTAATTTGGGATTCCACAGTGCCTTGCTTATAGTAGGCGCCCAATAAATACATGTTGAAGCAAACCAAGTTTCCCAAGTTCTCATCTCTTAACAGTGACCAAGACATCTTTCTCCTCCGAAGGGCTTGGCAGTTGTGGCTAAAAAATAAGCAGTATCATTATTTGCTTGAAAATCATATATACAGTTTGTATGAATTTCAGTATGTTGCCAAGACATGATCTTTTTCTTACTGTATTTTCTGTAAATATTTCTGGCACTGAACTGTAAAGTAAAGGCAAAGTGTAAATATGAAGGCCTGCCCGTGCCCCTTGCCTCCTATGTTTCATCTTCGTCAGTTAGGGAAGAAGGTCCAGAGGTTTGTTTGTATTTATGCCGATCCTTTGTCCAGAAGAAACCCATGGAATATTGAATGTAATACATTTAGTCAATTAAATTTTAAGGCGATTCTTATCTAATGACTGTGTGTGCTTTTGGATCCAGGCTGGGGGTGACTCCTACACTGCTGCTCTTAATTTTACCCTTCCAGGGCATGTCTCCTGGGCTTTGGCTGCTCTTCATAATTTAGATCGGTAGTTTAAATGAACATTGAGTATTTCATGAAATACTCAAAAATTTGATTAATTCTTAAGAAAAATACTTGGCTTTCTCTGCTGGAAGGAGCTTGTATAATTAAAACACTGCCAGTAGAGGCTCACCTTTCAGAGGCTGGGAATTGCTGAGGAGATAGATGCTTGTGTTATGGGAACAAGAAGGGCCAGCTGTGCCCCCTGCTTGCAGAAAATTTGAGCCCTACCAGGGCTAGACAGGAAAGTGGGGAGGTGCAGAGGTCATCCCCTGCTGCCCACTGCCCCCTTTGTGTAGGGCAGACTGCAGAGGGTTTCTTGGGGCCAGATGAATGCTTTCAGGCCTAGATCACATAGAGTGGAGTGAATGGACCACTTAAAACAGCCGTGAGAACCATGTGGTGCATGCCTCTGCCAAGAGCTATGCCTCTGACCTAGCACAGACTCAGTGTGACGTGTGCCACCCTATGAACTGTGTCTGGGAGCTGCCTACTTTGCACTGTGTGCTCTGCCTGCTCTGCCCGCTCACAGCAGGACCTCCAGCTGGGCCTAGTGGCCAGGAAAGGTGACTGCACAGTAGCCCTGTCTTGTTGTCTGGAAAGGTTTCAGAAAAATGTGTGCTCAAGCCTTTCCCATCAGTGCTGCTCATCTAGCTCTCTCTAACCCCAACCTCTTCAGCACTCAATGCCAGGGAATCACTCCCAACCCAGACCGCCTGCTCCTCCTCCTCTTGGCCTCTGGGCCCTGCATCTGGCACACCCTGCCTGGACACTGCTTCTCTTGGACACACATTCTAGTCCATTTTCCCAGACCAACTCTTGTAGGAACTCAGGCCATCCCTCAGCTGGGCTAGGACTCTTTAAACCATGCCCCAGCTCTCCCAGCCCCTCCCATGCTCATTTTTTCCAGTTGCTGGCCCCATGTCCCTTCTCCTTGGATTGGTGTCTTTTCCTGTAAGGGAGTTCTCCATGTTTCTCCCTAGGTTTACCACCCACTTCCTGCAGCTGCTCTCCCAGCCTGGACCTGAGTTTGCCTCACTTTTCAACAGGTGCTCTTAAGTCATGAGATGCTGTGGTCTCAAAATCAAGCCTGCGTCAGAATCATCCTGGCTCCTTATCAGTATGTTGAATCCCAAGCCTCACCCCTGCACCCAAGAGGCCTGAGGAGACGAAGGTGAGCCTGTGAATTGGCATGTTTAATAAATAACACTCCAACACCCACCCACCTGCTGGCAGTCACAGGCAGATGGCCCAAGGATCCTCTTGAAGAATACCATGCAGCAGCCAGTCCTCCAGTGGGAAGCCTGAAGCCTCTTTTCTGCCATGGTCTGGCATATGGAGGTTTACTGAACACTTCATGAGAGAACGGATGACAGTAGATAAGGATGACGTAGGAGTGTTCTGCCTACTCAGGAGATAAAGGAAGATTAAACTCATTAGATGCCCCTCACTGAAAACCCCAATAAGGAGAGGCACAGAAGCTTCCAGATTAAGAAATAATCATGTATAGTCGTTTAATAATCATTAGAAAAATTACTATGTGTGAGATTTTAAAAGTTTTAAGTGGCAGCCCAGTGACCAATCTAGCCTGGCAAACTTTTTGTTTTGCAAACAGTGCTTCAACAAGATCTGATCTAACATTTTAAATTTGAGAGATTTCACATAAAAATCCAGACTTTTTGCCTGTCTTGGGAAAGTTAGGAGTCCTGGCAGTAATGGGCCTGCATTTCACTTGTGGCAGTTATTGGCTGGAGCTGCCACCACCGCATGCTTAGGATGCAGTAAGCTCCATCCAGTTTGCTGCAGTCCCCAGCACTCCCATGAAGTGTGGACGGGGGCACGCACAGCTGGTATTACAGGACCTGGGGACTTGGCTGGCTCCTGGAGGGGTCTGTGACTTCAGATATATGAACACTGACCCTGGGGGTAATTTTTGTCCCATTTGTTTTTCTAACTTACAGAATTATCCCCATCTTACAACAAAGAAGGTCAGAGGGGTGCCATGAACCTAATAGCTACTGGGCTGAGATTCAAACCCAGGCCTGCCTGGAAGCCTGGGCTTTTAATTCTCAGCCAGATTGTCTCACTGCATCACTTCCCACCCATTCATCCAGAACAACTCTCCCTCAAAGTGTCCCCTGCATGCATGCTTTGCCTGAAGGACACTGTGACTTCCTTGTTACGTCACAGCTCAGTCACAATTGGGCTGAGAGCAGAGCATGGCCCAGCCTGCCAGGTCCCCTGGGGCAGCCCTGCCAGCCAAGCCCAGGCTGGCCCGGCATAGCCACACATGCACCATGAAGTACCCTTTGGTGACACTGGTGAACGACTTCACATTTTCTTTCCTGGGTTTCTGGTTCTGCCTCCCTGTGGGTTTGCTGTTGTTATTGATCATCTGGCTACGCTTCTTACTTAGCCAAGGTGAGCTGCTTACCCTGCCCAGGCAGGGCCCTAATCCCGGAGCTGGGCAGGGAGCCGAATAGGCCAGTGTGTCCTGAAACAAATGCAGAAGGGGTTTCATTCAGTTATTTTAAGTGCTGGCTCAGATGCAAGCAGTCAGCTCTTAAGTGGAAAGGATTGGTTTGGTTATTTAGAGTTTCTTAACCTAGAGTTCAAGAGTCCATAAGTTTGACTGCAAAGCAGTATGTGTGTGTGCACGCCTATAGCATGCATGAGCTTTTGAACAAAGGAAGAGGTTATCCCTCCAGGCAGATGAACTAGAAAAGGGTGTCCCTTTCTGTGAATATAGCTGGGCATGAGGCTCTGTCAGCAGAGTGTGGGCTGGATTTCAGCCCCACTCACCCCCTCAATTAGGTGCATTTGTGCAGTAAACAGCTTGCACAATGGGATACGGCATCCTTAGGCATTTTTTAGGTACCTGCAGACCACTCACTGTTTTCTACCTAGACCATATGTCAGAAAGGATCTGGCTTCTCTGGGAGACAGGCTCATGGAAGCCAACTGACATTCATCCTGACCTCAGCATGCCACCAAGAGGAGCAAGAGGTGGGACGAAGCCGGCTGTGGAGGAAGCTGGGGATGGCTGGACCAGGATATGGCCTGGCTGTGTGGCAGGAGGAGCTTCTGCTCCTCTGGCATGTGTCTCCCTGAGCATCCCCTTCAGCAAGAGGGCTCTTTCTGCTGGCACAGTGGCTCACGCCTGTAATCCCAGCACTTTGGGAAGCCAGTGGCTAGATTGCTCAAGCCCAGGAGTTTGAGACCAGGCTGGGCGACGTCTCTACAAAAAATACAAAAATTAACCAGGTGTGGTCGCTTGCATCTGTGGCCTCTGCTACTCGGGAGGCTGAGGTGGGAGAATTGCTTGAGCCTGGGAGGTTGAGGCTGCAGTGAGCCGAGCTCACACCACTGTACTGCAGCTGACGAGTGAGACTCTGCGTCCAAAAAAAAAAAGGCTTCTTTGTGGGGACCACTTAACCTCCCACCTGCTGCTGCTGAGCGCCATGGCCTTTGGCCAGCTAGGCAGGGAGGGTGCAGCACATGCTACCAGCAGTGGTCAGATGTCATTGAGGCAGGGTGAGAAGTCCCTCCCTACACTCCCACTAGCTCCATGATCTCAAATGTAGGGGCTGGTCATTGTGTAATTATTGGGAGTTCCTGGCAAGAGCCTAGGATGTCCTCTTGTTTCTAGAAAATGTTTATTTAAAGTGTATTCTCATAGTCTCAGGGTAGACCACAGCCCTCCCTGAGGGGCGCAGTTTAGGCATTGGGCCCCACAGCTGATAGGGAGTCAGACTTGTTTGCATACTGGCAATAAAAGTTGTCTCTCTGGAGTCTGGAAGACATGGGTTCAGATTTCATCCTTGCTTTTTTTTTTTTTTTTTTTTTTTTTTTTTTTGAGATGGAGTCTTGCTCTTGTCACCCAGGCTGGAGTGCAGTTGCACAATCTCAGCTCACTGCAACTCTGCCTCCTGGCTTCAAGCAGTTCTTCTGCCTCAGTCTCCCGGGTAGCTAGGATTACAGGCACCCGCCATCATGCCCAGCTAATTTTGTAATTTTTAGTAGAGACGGGGTTTCTCCATATTGGTCAGGATAGTCTTGAACTTCCAACCACAGGTGATCTGCCTGCCTTGGCCTCCCAAAGTGTTGGGGTTACAGGCGTGAGCCACTGTGCCTGGCCAATGCAAACATTTTAACAGCTTCATGACAAGCCATCAGACAGAAGGACCAGGTCTCCATGTAGTGTGATGGCACCACAGCTTAGTCACCCAGACCTCTCGTGATCTGTGGATATGGACAGTTTCCAGATGTTTTATTGTTTGTATGTATGTGTTTCACCACAAAACAGTGCTGCAGTGGAGATCACTGCGTCTTTGTACTCAGATATTTGTTAATGAATCAACTAGTGGACAAATGGCTGGATGGGTCAATGACTGTGTTGCCTCACTGCCTCCTCCTGGACCATGCCCAGTACAGTATGTCACTGGCTCACTTCTGTGTCCTTCGCTTTAATAGATTGATATGGCCACGTTCCCAGTCCCAGGAACAGCCTCCTTTCTTGATCCCTGGTCACACTTTAAGGCCCTGAAGTCTTCCTGAGGTCTCAAGGCTGGCCTGTGGGATTCTGCCTTGGCCCTAGCCTCAGACAAGGCTGCAGGGATGTAAGGGGCAGGAGACAGTATGTGACCACCCAGGAGGTCTTGCCTCGTATCTCCAGATTCAGAGGAAAATGACTCCAATGTATGCTTGGATTGGGAGCCCTGGAGCCAAGGCCCGGCCGAGTTTTGCTGGAAGGGGACACTCCACGGCCAAGAGAAGGAGAGGCCCTGCTGGTGAGCCTGCTGTGCCAGGGGAGGCCCTTCCAGGGGCCAGGGGGAGCCTCAGGGCCCACCCAAAGCCTTGGGCAGCTGCTATGTGGGCAAGAGGCTGTCTCTACCATATTGGAGGTATGCTCCCTGGCCATGCTGGACAACGGACTCTCTCCAGCATGTGACAGCCTTCTGCCTCATTGTGGGGGACACCTGGTGTTGCCCCATTGGAGGACCAGCCCCCCTGTGCCACAAGAGGCCTTTACAAAGGTCCCCTACCCTTTACCCTAGGGCCTCACCACCCACCACTCTCCTGACGGTCTTCTGCCAGCTGTTCCCTCATTCCTCTCTGCGGGGCACTCCCTCACCTCTGAGGGCTTGCTCCAATGTCACTTTTTCAGTAGGGCTCCCCTGGCTGCCCTGTTCGATACTGAAGCCCCACCCTGTCCTCTGTGTCGTTCTCCTTACCCTACTCTGCTTTCCTTTCCCCGTAGTACTTACCACCTTCTAACACGTTCGATCGTGGCTGCATCCAAAGCCCCAAAACACTGCCCAACACACACTGGAGGCTCAATACATATTTGTAGAAGGGATGGCATGATATTGTTATTGTTATAATGGCTGATATTCCTTGGGGGCTTAAAAGGTACCAGTGCCTGTCTTAAGCATTCCCCTCTCACAAGCTTACTTATGAAATCCTGTGATGAGGATATGATTCTCACCTCCATTTATAAATGAGAACATTTACAAATGAGGCATACACACACATAGGCTTATGTGAGGTGTCAGGGCAATCAGATGTTGTATCCAAGAGTCCTTGTACCTACTGAATACCCAGGAGACCTCAGCCATTACAGTGTGGTTAGATGCCATCTCTATACCAATGGCCCCAAAATGTGTGTGTCTCATCTAATCTCCTCCCAAGCTTTGTTACCTGTCTGCTTGACACCCTCATGCCTAGAATGGGAATCTTGATTCCCATTGCCACCCAGCAAAGCAAAACAGCACCCTGATCTTGCGCTAGCTTTTCTTCATCTCCGTGAACAGCACCAGCCGGAACTGATTCTATCGCTCGAGTCACACTCCTGGCCGGCAACCTTCTGGCCTCTCTCTCCCAACTCGAATCTCCATCTCTCATGTGTCCACCTTTCTCTGTCCCCTTGGCCACCATAGCCTGCCGTGCCCTGAAGGTGATTCATGCAGCATGTTCACTAGCCGCCCCCTGCCTGAGTAGAGGGAGGAGGTGGTGAAAGGAGCCCCTCCCTTACCTGAGTTGGAGGGATTTTTAGCCTTTTGGGTCATGATCTTGAACACTGAGGGCCTTTTCCCAGGAAAACTCACTCTTATGCATGCCCTCAGAGATTTGTGTATGGGGCCAGCTCCATGGGTATGTAACCTGCAGTCCCACAAGGTCCCATGCTTGGCTGTTGTCTTGAAATACAAGGGGCCCCACATGTTAATTTGCTATTAGGCCTTGTGAGTTATGTAGCCTGTCCTGTTTTTATATCATTGGTGGCATAAGAAAAGATTTTCAGACCCTGCCCAAGACCCTATCCCACTTATCCAGAGTCCTTGCCACCCCTGTCAGTTACCTGCCTCTTTTTTTCTTTTTTCTTTTCTTTTTTTTTGAGACAGGGTTTCTCTCTGTTGCCTAGGCTGGAGTGCAGTGGCGCGATCTTGGCTAACTGCAACCTCTTCCTCCCAGGTTCAATCAATTCTCCTGTCTCAGCCTCCGGAGTAGCTGGGACTACAGGCGCACGCCATCACACCCGGCTAATTTTGTATGTTTAGTAGAGACCGGTTTCACCATGTTGGTCAGGCTGGTCTCAAACTCCTGACCTTAGGCAATCCACCCACCTCAGCCTCCCAAAGTGCTGGGATTGCAGATGTGAGCCACCGTGCCCGGCCTGACCCACCTCTTTCTTACCCTTTCATCCCAGTGGCATCCCTAGTCCCAACCTTCCTTTTGTTTCTAGTTTGGTTTTCCTGGAGTCAGCAGGGCAGTAGCAATGGCAGAAGTGGATGGGAGAGACTTGCCAAGGAGGCGAGAGGACTTTGGCAAATGTGGTCCCTCCCTGGAACCCCCAACTCATCTCCTCTTCAGACTGACCTGCGAAAGCCTCCAGAGGACCCAGCCCTTCTCCAGCATCACAGATGACCTCCAGCCCTGCAGGGAGTCGCCCGGGGCTGGGAGGGCATGGGAGCAGCAAGCAGGCCCATGGGGAGAAATTGGCCAATTTAACTCAGAGGGGTCTTAAAACAGGGCTGAGCTGGAGGGTGTGGGTCCATATTAAAGAAGCGAGGGGCTTCCCATGCCCGAGGGACCCCTGACAAACTTACCAGGCCTGACCGAGTCATTCATTCAACTAGTGTAGGTCTGAGACTCAGCCCTGGCCCTGATTCAAGCCATGTAGGACCCTCTTGGAAATGCCCATCTGTTCAAGGGGAAGCGGGGCTTGCTCTGAACTTCCATTCTCTGATTTCAGACTCACTCCTTGATTGGATTTCAGGCTGATCTTAATAAAAAATATTTGATTAATAGCTACCGAGTGTCTAAGAAGTACCTAGTTTGGTAGGAGTAGGAATAGCTATAGGAGCAGCTCACATTTAGTGAGTGCTTACTACACATGTCAGGCACTTTTCTATGTGCTTTATACTTATGATTGCTGGCCGGGCAGGGTGGCTCATGCCTATAATCCCAGCACTTTGGGAGGCCGAGGCAGGCAGATCACTTGAGGTCAGGAGTTTGAAGCCTGGCCAACACGGTGAAACCCCATCTCTACTAAAAATACAAAAATTAGCCAGGTGTAATGGCACATGCCTGTAGTCCCAGCCACTCGGCTGGCTGAGGCATGAGAATGGCTTGAATCCGAGAGCAGAGGTTGCAGTGAGCTGAAATCACACCACTGCATTCCAGCCTGAGCAACAGAGTGAGACTTGGTCTCAGATAAAAAAAACCAAATATATATGATTGCTTTTAGCCCTTTAAGAATGCTGCAAGGTAGGGTCTTTGGTTACCTCTGTTTGACACATGAACAGGCACAGGACAGTCAAGTAAGTTGGTCAGAGTCACACTGGGAGGGTTGGCATTTGAACCCATGACTCCAGAACCAGGTCCCATTCCACCATGCCAGTTCTTCCCCAAGCAGGGTGTGGGGGGAAGGTATGGTGGGAGGCCTAAGGTTTCAGAGGCTGCAGGATGCTGGGGGTGGGGGGATGAAGGGATAGGCCCTCCAAGGTGCCAACTGCGCATCATCTTTATCCCTTCTTTCTCCCTCACTCCACACCCCACCAGCCACCACGACTTCTAAATGTCCGAAGGAGAGAGAATTGAGCCCGAAATTATTAGCTGGTCTCCTGGCCTTGGTCTCTGCTCTTTCTGCCCTGTTGGAATGATCCACCCAAAGCACAAATTGAGACATGTCCCTTCCCATCTTCATGCCTTCCATGCTTTCTGTTGTCCCTGGACTAAAGTCTGAGCTCCTCATCAGGTGCAGAAGGCCACCCTTTGGGATTTGAGCCCCACTGAATTTGCTGGATGTGGTTTCTATTCTTACCGACAGGCAACAATGAACACTCTTGAACTGAAATCCTTGCACATAAGTGTGCTTCTATCCAGAGAACACATTCTGAAAGGAGAAATTGTAGACTACAGACATGCATTTACATTTTGCAGATACTGCTAAGTTTCCTGACCAAAAGATGGCCCAAACTGTGTATTAGAAGTACCTGTTTCCCCAGCCCTTTGCCTGGCTGTGCAGTCTCAACACACTCTCACATACACATGCACTATCACACACTCACAGACACACTCATACATTCACACACAGACACACATCCTCATACACAGACATACTCATACACTAACACACATACATATACACTCACACCCTCACACCTACACACATGCTCATACACTCACACATACACACACATTCACACACATACACACATGCTCTCAATCTCACACCTTCACACATACACACTATCACAGACACACAGTCATACCCTCACACACTCACCCTCACACACATACATCCACTGACACTCTCACACATACAGACACACTATCAGACACACACACTCTCATACACTCACAGAAACATACACTATCTCAGACACACACACATACTCTCATACATACACAGACCACATATACACTTATGATCCCTTACATAGCAGTGTATGCATACACACTCACATACACATGCATGCACACACATACATATACATATACACGCACCACCTCATGCATACAGACACACTATCACGCACTCTCACAGACACACATGCACACACACTCTCACACATTTAAATATTTTGTTCTCAGGCTGTGGCATTTAAATGAGAATGAGGAAGAAATGTGGGATAGATGACACACATAGTCGCACAGACAGATGTGCACTCACACACATGCGCAGACACATGCACGTACACATGCAGACACGTGCACTCACACATGCACAGACACGTGCACTCACATGCACTCACATGCAGACATGCACATTCACACATGTGCACACGCACTCACATGCAGACACATGCACTCACACATGCACAGACATGTGCACTCACATGCACAGACGCATGCACTCACATGCACTCACACACATGCAGACATGCGCACTCACATGTGCACACACACACATGCAGACACATGCACTCACACACATGCATAGACACGTGCACTCACATGCACATACAGGCACTCACATGCAGACACACTCACACATGTGTGAGTGCATACTCACACATGCACAGACACGTGCACTCACACATGCAGACACATGCACTCACATGCACAGACACACGTGCACTCACAAACATGCGTAGACACACTCACATACACACACACCCCTCCCTCTTCCACACCAGCTTTGCTACAACTGAGGAACTTTTGTCACCACAGGGTTTTCCTGGGAGCTGCAGGGGTGGCATTGAATGAACCATGTCAGCAGCTCCTCCCCGTGGCCTCTGCCTCTGCCTGGTGGTGTCTGCGTTTTCAACAAGTGCTCACTTCCTTGGAGTCTCCATGTGTTGCTAACTCGGCCCTGCCCGGTAACTCGGCCCTGCCCCTCCGTGCTGTGAGGGGCTGCTGGGCCATTGTTTAGCCTCCCTTCTGGCCTTGAAAAGCCAGTGGAGCCCCCCACACCCTGCCCTCCTGCCCCAGCTGCTGAGGGCCCGACCTGAGGAGAGTGAGTGCAGCGAGCCCTGTGCTGGGGTCTGGAAAGAGCGTCTGCCATGCCCCCTGGAGCCTTTGAGGCAGAAGGCAGATGAGGCCTCTCCTCAGGGCTCTGGGCAGGTGACAGCTCTGGAGAGCAATTGTGGAGAGAGCCTTCCCTGCTTTGGGTGGGGGCTGAGACCCTGAGCCTCTGTGGATGCTGGCGAGGTCCCCATTCTGACACACATATGCACACTCACACAGGGGAGACAGGCGTGTGACTGGTAAACACATCCCGTGACGCTCTGGTCACAGGTTGCTGAGAGACATCATCCCCAAGTAGCAGGCTCGGCTCACTGGGTGCCCACGCACTGTCCCACTGAATCCTCACAACAGCCCCCTCAGTCGGGTCATGGTTCCATGTTCAGATGAGGAAACGGGTACAGAGACATTAAGTAACTTGCCCCAAATCACACAGCTATGAAGTGGCCCATTTTTCTGACTCTTAACTGGGATGTGTGTCTCCAGATCCACAGGAATACCCCTGGCTCTTCCTAGAGCTGAATGATGGAGGTTAAGGCTGTGTGGTTGATGTTTGTAGGACACTCAGGTACACTCGGGACAGCAAACCTGTCTCCCCAGGCTGCAGAGCGCAGGGAGCCTGCGAGGACAGTCACCAGCATGACGCGGGAGCACCACAGGGGCGTCAGTGATGCAGGGCCCATCTGACTGTCCTGCCTCTTGCTCAACGCCACACCCCTTGTCGCAGCATATGTTCTAGGCACAGGCTTATTTTCTACCCCTAACCCTGAGGCTGCAGGCCTGGACTCCTGAGAGCAAGCCCCTCAGCCACCGTCACCATCCCATTCAGCCTCAGTGTCATTGTCTGCAAAACAGGGCCGATCTCCTCTGCATTTGTTTCCAGGAGCTTCCATGACAAAGTGTCACAAGCTGGGTGGTTTGGAACAGCAGAAGCCTGTGTGGGTTGATACATCTGGGGGCGAGAAGTCCACAATCAAGGTGCTGGCAGTGCCAAGCTCCCCCCAAACCCTGCAGAGGAAAGAGCCTTCCTTGCCTCTGGCAGTTTCTGGTGGCTCCAATGTGCCTCGGCTTGTGGCAGCATCACCCAGCCCCGGCCTCTGACCTCCCATGGTGTCCCCCCTCCCACCGGCCCCGTGTATCTTCATGTCACCTTCCTGATATGCATGCCTGTGCCTGGGACTGATTTTCCCCTTTCAGAGGGACACCAGTCTTACTGGGTTAGGGTCCACCCTACTGACCACATTTTAACTTGATTATCTCTATCAAAACCCTATTTCCAAATAAAGCCATTTTCAGAGGTACTGGAGTTAGGACTTCACATGTTTTTCATATGTTTTTAGCGGGACAATTCAACCCATAACACTCTCTTGCGAGTTATCATGCGGATCGCATATGCTAAGGCATGTAAAGCTCTGAGCATGGTGCTTGGCTGGCACTTCATTCCATAAATTGCTTTTCAAAGAAAAATGTTGGCCAGGCATGGTAGCTAACACCTGTAATCTCAGCACTTTAGGAAGCAGAGGCAGAAGCATCACTTGAGGACAGGAGTTTGAGGCCAGCCTGGGCAACATAGTGAGAGCCCTGTCTCTACAAAAAATAAAATAAAATAAATGGCTGGGTGTGGTGGTGCACACCTGTAAATCCTAGCTCCATCCAGAGGCTGAGGCTGGAGGATCGCTTGAGCCAAGGAGGTCGAGGCTGCAGTGAGCTATGATCACACCACTGCACTCCAGCCTGGGTGAGAGAGTGAGACCCAGTCTCAGAAAAGAAAAGAAAAAGACAAAAGTTGAGCACCTGGCAATTAGATGCTCAGTGTACATTGTGTGCCAGGCCCCCCGAAGCCTCACAATCACCCCTCAAGCCAGACAAGGTTTTCATTTAAATGATGCGGAAGCTGTGACTCAGAGAGGTTAAGGCATTTGCCTGAAGTCACACGGCCTAAGTGGCAGAGCCGAGGATCAGCCCAAGGCTATGAGGCTCCACCTCGTCACACTGCATAGGACTGCGCTGTAGTGGGAAGTGAGGGCTGCTTGGAGGGGCAGAAAGGCAGGGAGAAAAGTGCTGAGCACATGACACACAGGCCCTGGGGGGCTTTCTGGGTTTGAGGGACCTAGGATGAGTCTCTGCCATAGTGAGAAGCCCAGCTGACGACAGGCTGCCTGGGGAGGTGCTGGCGGGCTGCCAGGGTGCAGGGCCAACAGGTCTGAGCCACTCCACTGTGACCTAACCAGCCTGGCCGATACTGTGGGGGTGCCGGGGGTGGGGGTTGCTGGGACAGGGCTTAGCTGGGGCTGAGGAATGTTGCCCTGAGCACCCGTACACTCACTCCTCCAGGCTTCATTCTGAGTACACGCAGCCCTCCAGGGATCTAAGTGGGCACTTTCTTACAGAGGCTGGAGAGTACGATCATCCAAGATTCAGGCCACTCTCTCTTCCTTCCTGCTTTCTTCTGAAGGGTTCCTTGCACCTAAGGGAGGTGACAATGTTGAGAGCAAATTCTGACATGTGTGGTATATCATATTGTTTGCTGAGAGCGGCGGCAAGGAAAACCTAGTTGGCCCCCAAAGCAGAAAACTGACCCCAAAGCAGAAAACTGACCCCAAAGCAGAAAACTGCTCAAAGCATTTTAAAATAGTAACCCATATGAATATGTCTTACACCAGATGAATTAGTTCTTTGAACACAGAATATGCGACTCTTTCCTTTGTTCCCTCGTAAAGAGGGCTTTCTAGTCTATCTTTAACCTCTGGTAAACATCACTAACTGCCTGATTAGTTTACCTTTAACCAATGAAAGAACACAGAGCACCCGCTTGTTAAACTTGTCACTGAAATGAAAAGAATAAACATGTGGGTCAGAGTCTGCTCTGGGCTCTCAGCTGGGAATACTGTGAGACCCCTCATGCCCCACTCTGATCACCCACCTTTACTTTTTTTTTCTCTGAGTCTGTTTCTTAATTCCTTCAGTGCCACCTGGGTTGGGGTCTCCACAGCCAAGCTGGTCTCAGCATGACAGTGAGCTAGATTTTCAGTTCTGGACTGGAAATTCATTTACTCAGGTCCTAATTTATTCACTCATTTACTCTTCATTTATTCATTTATTCACTCATTTACTCTTCCACCCATTCACCTAGTGGCTCACCGATTCATTCATTTACTCATGTTCTCACATATCCATGGCCATTCACTCTTCCACCTACCCATCCACCCATCCATCCATCCATCCATCCAATCATCATCCTCTCATTCAGTTGTCTTCCCATGCATTCCTTCTCTTATCCCCCATTTTCCCAACCAATCTTTCATTCTTTCTCCTCCCATCTATCCATCCATCCATCCATCCACCCACCCACCCAAACTTTATTAAGCACCTACCACATTTCCCACACAAAACTCCCTATGGCTCCCAAAGTACTTTGGCACCCGCTTCCATAGATAATTCACTTACCTATTGAGCCCCAGCTCCTTGGCCTCCCAGTGGTGTGGTTCCCTTATGTCCTCCACAGGAGGAGGTTCAGGAGAAGTGGATAGGTGGTCATCTGCACAGCCCTAGTCTGTAGGCTCCAGCCAGCGACAGCTGCCTGAGACTCGGGGTTTTGCAGGACCCTGCATGCTCCGAGGCCTTTCCCGACTTTGAGAACCACACACAGTCCTGGGCACTGTGGCTCCAGCGGGGCCCTGTTTCCAGCTTCTTGGGCTCCATTCTTGCCTCTATCGGGCCAGAGCAGAGCTTCAGACTGTGGGGACCCACAGACTTGGGGTCCCTCCTTGAGTAGGACTTTGAGGACTCTCTTCTGAGAGTACAGACAAATATGCTGCCTGGAAAGATTCATGGACACCTGCAGCCTTAGAGGAGGGCAGGGCAGGCCACAACAATCTGGGGAAGTCTGCGGCATCCGTCCTGGCCAGAGGACAAGAGAAGGGGCTCATGGTCCAAAACGGATGCAGGGAATAGGACACGGCCAGGGTAGCCGGCAGGAGTTCTTCTCATATGTCCCTAAATGCCCTACTGTGACATCTTGGCATGTGTCCTTGTTGGTGCCTGGAAACTCCTTCCCACTCCCCACCCCTATCTGACACTCAGCCTCTGCTCTCCTTCTCAGCTGAGTCCGCTTGCTCCTGCTCTTCGCTCTCAGACACTCTGGTCACTTCCCCCAGGGCGCCTACAGAGCGCCATAAAGATTTGCTGAATGGCCGGGC